CGAACAAGTGACATGTTTTTCTTTTTTTGTGGCTATTAGTCAAACCAATCCTAGTGTCAACTACTTACTATAACTCAAAAGAATTTTACCTTTAAAACCTTACAATATCTATTAGGCCTCCGATGAGATTTGGTAACAATTCCAGCAAAGAAATATGTAGATATGGTACAACAAATTAGGGGCAGAATTTGACCAGCCCTTTTAACATATAGCATGTCGTTGAAGTCAATAGGTTCCTATCCAGTTCATAGCAGAATGTCTACAGAATCAAACAATGTAATCAGTTGAAACAAAATCCAGTAATCCTAAAAAGTGCAACAGTTCTCAAGTTTGATCTAGTCCATGGTCTGCAGTCAAAAACTAACAGAAACCAGATGCAGTCCTCTGGTTACTTGTGCTCCCACTTCATCCACTTATCAAAGAAATATAAGAATTTTGTCACTTCCTCAGAGCCTATTTTAGCTTTTCCCTAATACCCTCGTTCTAATTAATGGTATTTCGTAAAACTTTTGAAACATTAGCGTAGGTGTTAAATGTCAAATGAATTTTGTTACACCAAAAGAATAGAAAAGATACTAACTCAGTAACTCCAACATGAAGGAGTTAAGTTGATTCAACCTTCTGACAGAAAGGATACATAAAGAAGTACTAAAATCAAAGTTAGGCTACAATTTTCCGTTTTTTAGAAATAATCAAAAGTCAAAAAGTCCAGACCATGTAAAGGAAAGGGGCGGTGAGGGGGTTTTAAGTCTACAATTGAGTGTCTTCATTCAAAATACTACAAATCACTAACTTACTTATAATTAAACTACTTTTTCTTTTATTAAGTTGCGCAGTGGGGAGCCTTCAAGAACAACTTCACGTCTTTTTTCAATTCCAATTTTCCAAGAGGAAGCAGGGGACATTAGGGCAAAACAAGTTCTTGAACATCCTTAACATGCATTGACAGGATGACAACATATCTTGCTTTTAAAAAAAGATTCTTGAATTTTCTTGAAAAAGCCAACAAATTCTTAAAATTTTCTTGAATTCCAACATGCAAAATCGAGTTCTTTGGAAGAATATCAAGATAATGAGTAGAGTACCAATGGATAGATAGATCAATTGATTTAGGGTTAGGGTTTTGATCGGACATCGTCACTTGAACCATCAAGAACACCAACAAGTTCAATGAACTTTTCTAAAAAATTAAACGCAAAATAGAGTTGTTGAATTCGAATATGCCGAATGCCAATGAATCATGATAGATTTGCCGATAGCCGCCGGTAGCGTAAAAGTTCCGGCGGTCGAAGTATTGAGTTCTAAAATGGACACTAGGTTCTCTGTTTTATAGTTTTAGAACCAGATAATACACGCGGCAGAAAAATAGAACGCGGAAAAATAACTACTTAATAAAAAATATATTACTTTTTTGTAAACTATTTTATTCTAGTAATTATTTTTTATATTATTTGTAATAGGAAGAATTATTCATTGAATGTGAAATTTGTTCTCTCCCTTTCGTATTAAGTTAATATTTTTATTTTTTAATTAAATTCCCTTTGATATTAAGTTAATATTTTTATTTTTTAAATTTATTTAATTTTTAAGACTATTTAAGATAGTTATTTCAATTTTATCCTTCAATAATTAATATTGAAATTAGTGATTAATTATTATTTAGTTATTTTAATTATAAATTTGACAATAATTAATGCCGTTTACTTCTCCTTTTTCTTAAGAAGAGAAATTTAAGCTTCTTTCTAATCGAAAAAAAAACAATTTTACTTTCATTTAAAAGCAATTTTAAAAATTTGTCAAATATTTAATTTTTCAAACAAAAATATTTTTTTCTATAAAAAAAAAACATGTTGAGTATCCCAACAACAATGTCAAACACTAAGAGGCTCTTAGCCCAACCCAATTTTTTGTTGTTTTCATTTTTCTGCAAATAAACTTCAAAAATAAATAAAAATCTTGTCCAATCAAAGTGTGTAGTAATTTGTTTATTGCCCTAAGTTTTTAAATAATCAAAAAGATATTAATAATGTTACTTCAAATTTTTTAAAGTTCGAAAAAAGGAAGTTAAAAAAAATGATACACATACCAAATATTAGCCTAAGTCAAAGTAGAATCCACAATGTTGAGTGTGTGAAACACGGCCAAAGATAATCTGTAATACTTTGCAAATGAACTAAAACATTCATATTTTTATATATTTCTGCAGCAGTATAATGTTATGTTTTTTTTGTTGTATTGAGGTCTTGAGGATAACGTAGACTTTAGCTCTTGAGAAGCTCCAATTCCCCTGTTATAAATAAATGAAATCATGCAAAGAAATTTCTGAATTCTCAAAAATCAGTTGGCGGTCTGAACAGCTAAAAAAGTGTGGTGTATGTCTTTTTGATATCAGCTACTGAAAAATTACATTCAACATTTGGGAGTAGGACAAATAGCCCCCCTCTATCTAAGTTTCAGTAATGTGTATTCAACTATACAAACTACAAAGTTTAGTTAGTTCTTTACAAAATTGTGTTAAGGAAAAGCATCAGAAGCTACTCAAGCGAGAAGTAAGATTAATGAACACATCCTCACTACACGGAATTGTTACACCGCCCATTGGATGATCAAAGTCAAAACTCTTCCTCGGCTTGACTAAGCAAGTCTTGGAATAAAGGTTGTCTCAAGAATGAAATGGGGATCATAAATCTCTTCTTTTGCTTCTCCCCAACATAAACAGCAAAATGGCCCTTTGGAACGTCTCCAAATGTACAAGTCTTCTTGATTATACGGATTTCCATGGTTGTTTAGTTCAATATAGATGAAGAAATAAGGATTGGAAGAATTAGTAAGGAAATCTGAAAGCAGAGAAAGGTTTGTATCATTTCAAGTTTTAGTGAGAGCTGTTATGTGTTTATATAGGCTAATCTCAAGTTGTAGAATTCTACAGATGTGCATTGAATAGACATTATGTGGGCACCAGCTAAAGACAGTAGCACCTGAAGTATCACATGGTATTGCCTTCCAACTCATTGCCATAATACTATTAATGCAAACTCTCATGTGTCCACTTATATCAAAACTATAACAAAAAACAAAATCAATCATATAGAAGATTCAACTGGTAGAGAGGCATTTTTTGTACTGTTGATTGACTATAGCACATGGTTTTGCTACTCAACTCATTGTCATTGCTCTTCAATATCAGCAGTCCCTACACCCCAGTGTTTTTTAGGACAAGAGAGAGAACTGAAGATTTTTAGAAATCAATTTGCTAACATTGAGTCATTGTCAACAGCAGGATTTTATGAGTTTGATCAGAATGATAATAACAGGTAAAATTTACTACCATCTGACCATTTGCTAAGTCCCTCAAGCTAAGTCATTATGTAGGATCAACTTTCCTGATTAAAATAAACCAACCCATTTCAATAGATTTTTTCTAAATATTTCCAAATAGTAGAGAATACGATATATTCTTTACTGGCTATCTCTGTCCATGTATGCAAATCTCCATTAAATTATAAGTCAGTCAACACCTTATTATTGCTAGAAATTCGAGTTCATATCCAAAAGTACAGATACTATTTCTTATGAAGAGTTCCTAAAGTGTAATTATCATTTTTACCAATTGAATGAGGTACGCCACTTAAGAGGACTAGATTGTAGTTCTTTCTGATTACCAAACCATTACAGTTGAGCAAACAATTTCTACTGCAATAAATTGATTACATCAATGTATGGAAGTAAAAAGTTTCATTACTTCAATTTCTTTTGAAGTAGAAAAATGTATACTAGTCTAGCTATTGTTTCTTCCAACTCTCAACTGTACACAGTGGAGTTCCTGGCTTACTACAACTATACAAAATTGTGTGACGAAAAAAAATGGTGACTAGTTTCCTTCTCACTTCCTCAATCGAGATGTGAGATCCATGAACAAATCCTCACTGCAGGGAATAGTAACACCGCCCATTGGATGTTCAAAGCCAAATTCATCCTCGGCTTGACTAAGCAAGTCTTGAAACAAAGGTTCGCTCAAGAATGATATCGGAATTACAAATCTCTTTTTCTGCATCTCTCCAACATACACAGCAAAATGGCCCTTGGGAATATCTCTAGTTGCGGAAGACCTCTTGATCATACGGAGAATAGCCATGATCTCTTAGTTTTAGTATAGATGAGAAAAAAAGGACTGTTAAGGGAACTCAAAAGCAGAGAAAACTTTGATGTTTACTGAGTGTTGTGGTGGTAGATACCTCTTTGGATATGTTTATATAGGAAATGGCAACTCATATTGATGTGAATCGAATAGGAATTTGTGGTCACCAGCAGAAGACAATGGCACTCAAGTATCACATGCTCTTGCCTTCCAAGTATTGAATTGTGGTATTAGTTGAAGAACAATAGGCCCTACCTTTTCTGAAAACTTGGAAAGAAGCATTATTCATTACATAATTTCTAAGAAGTGATGAGAAGTCATAAACCTCTTGATATGTGATGAAGAGCCATTTGGATTGGGCTGCACATGGTCATGCCTTTCAACTAGTTGACATGATTGATTCTTTTAGCATATATAAGTTCAAGTAAAATAGGTCCTACACATTTATTTCCAACAAAGGATCTCTAAGAATCAAATCCATAAATATTACTGGTAGCTTATGATGATTTCTAGAAATAAAACATACCCCAGATGCAAACTTTGTATCCAATTATATAAAAGATATACGAGATAAGAAGTCAAAAATATGAAAGATTTCACTGGTTGACACTGTTAGTTGACAATAGCACATGAAGTATCACATTGTCTTGTTCCCCAACTCATTGTCTAATATACATGATCTTAGCGATCAGATTGGTAAATTTACTGCTCTTGAATAGCAGCAGACCCCAATGTTTTGACAAGATAGCGAACATACATCAAATCGATAAATTTACTGCAATAGCTGACAACTTGTAGGATCAACACTCCCGATTAGACTAACCTGTGTTATTTCAATAGATTTTGGAAAGTGTTCTCAAATATTTGTGGGCTTTCAACATGTCTGTGTTTGCAAATCTCCATAAATTTATGAGTCGGTCAAAACCTTACTATATATTGGCAGAAATTTGAGTCCATCCATATTCGAGAAAAGTATAAATATGGAATACACATTTTTAAGAGTTGATCAATTTACATCCAGTTCTATTGGATTCAGTCGAACTGAGTACTTTCACATTGCTGCAGAATGGCAGATCTAGTACATGTTGAGTTATACTTCATTGTATGATGGACACTACCATGTTTATTTTAACTTCATTTTGAACCACAAAGTATAATTCTTACCAATGGAATGAGTTGTGGCACTTTAGAAGACTGGATTCTGACAAAAAACGAGGGTAGAGCAAAAAAATTCTATTGCAATGAATTGTTACATCAATATATGTATAGAATGAAACCATGTAAGTAAAAAGTTTCATTACTTCAATTTCTTTTGAAGTAGAAAAATGTGTCCTTAGTGTAACTAGTGTTTCTTCTAACTCTCAACTGTACACAGTTTCTATCCTGACTTACTACAACTACACAAAATTGTGTAATTAAAAAAATGGGGACTGGTTCCCTTCTCACTTCCGCAATATAGATGTGAGATTGATGAACAAATCTTCGCTGCAGGGAATAGTCACACCACCCATTGGATGGTCGAAGCCAAATTCTTCCTCAGATTGACTAAGCAAGTCTTGAAATAAAGGTTCGCTCAAGAATGATATCGGGATCACAAATCTCTTTTTCTGCATCTCCCCAACATACACAGCAAAATGGCCCTTGGGAATATCTCTGGTTGCGGAAGACTTCTTGATCATACGAAGAATAGCCATGATCTCTAGTTTTAGTATAGGTGAGAAAAAAAGAAGGATTGTAAGGTTACCAAAAAGCACAGAAAGCTTTGATGTTTGCTGAGTATTGTGGTGGTAGATACCTCTTTAGATATGTTTATATAGGAAATGGCAACTCATATTGATGTGTGTTGAATAGGAATGTGTGCATACCAGCAGAAGACAATGGCACTGTCGTATCACATGCTCTTGCCTTCCAAGTATTGAAAACTTGTGGTGTTAGCTAAATAACAATAGGCCCTACCTTATTTTGGAACTTGGGAAGAGCCATTTGGATTGGACATCAGTAGAAGACAATGATATATTAGTAATCACTTGGGCCTGCCTTCCAGCTAGTTGACATGATTAATTGCTTTAGCATATAAGATCAAGTTCAATAGGTCCTACATATATTTTCCTATAGGGAACAAAGGATCTCTAAGAATCAAATCCATAAATATTGCTGGTAGCTTATGAGGATATCTAGGAATTAACCATACCCCATGCAAACTTTGTGTCCACTTGTATAAAAAGGATAAGAGAT